TGAAGCGTGTCGGGTATTGTGAGGGCGACGTCTTGAAGTGCTGATACTACACGTAGTACAGACACCTCGATGGAAATACTTGTGCTTAGTGCGATGCGGGGTCGGCGTGGCCGTGGCACACGTGGTGGAACGCACACGTATGTCCCGGGGAGCCCGACGGGGCCCAGCGCTGGGACGAACGGTGCCGTACTCGAAAGCGAAGCAGTGCACTCGTTGGCGTGCTTTGAAATCTGCTTAGAGAATAACCCTGAAGGGGTGCAAACCTTGTCGAGGTTCCTCTGAAGGCAGCTGAAATTGGTGCTGGTCCTGTGTGGGGTGGGGAGAGGGCACGGCTGGTCTGCCGTACCTGGCGCTGGCCCGGCGCGTTGCTGGGCGAGGGACCATGGCTGGGAGCTCTGGAGCTGCCCGGCGTGGGCTGGCAGCGGCGGCTGCAGTTGTTCTAAACCAGTTAGGAATGTTGGGAGGAAAATCCGAACAGCGTCGCTGCTGCTTGGGTGTGTGGCAGGGCGCTGCCGGCCCCGAGGCCTTTGCCGTCTCTGATTTGGTGCAGTCGGGTTCATCAGCAGAGAGCTCCCGTAGCTCCGGGGACAGGGGAGTTCTGACTGAATTTGGGGGTTTTTCCTTTCCTATTGGCGTGATTGGGGCACACCTGCGGGGCCAGCCGGGCTGCAGGAGAGCTGAGACATTTCATACGTGGCCATCTCAGCTCCTCTGAACTAACCTACGTCTGCGACCGCCGCTGCGTGCTTTTCTCCAGGTGCTGAGTCTCCACAATGTACAGCAGCAGATCATGAGCTGTGCAGGTTCCTGGGTTCCAGACCTCTCCTGTGAAACTTCTTCCTGTGAACTTCTTCTCTCTGAGGGTGACGGAGCCCTGGCCCAGGCTGCCCAGGGAGGCTGTGGAGTCTCCTTCTCTGGAGATATTCCAGCCCCGCCTGGCGCCTGGACGCGGTGCTGTGCAGCCTGCTCTGGGTGACCCTGCTTGGGCAGGGGGTTGGGCTGGGGGACCCACAGAGGTCCCTGCCAACCCCCACCATCCTGTGACTCTGTGAAACATGTGTTTTACTGTGGGAACCCGTGCAGTCCTGTACGTGTGTTTGTCCCTTTCCTACGCGTGACGTTAGCCGGCTCTTCCCGCGAGCGCTGCTGGAGGGGTCGATCCGAGCAGCAGCTGCGGGCAGTCGGGTGCTGGGGGGTTTCTCTGCTCCTTTGGCCTGAAGCCCCAGCTCAGCCCTGCTCTGGTGCTGCTGGTTTCCTGCTTATTTTTTTCTCCCGGTCTTCTCCAGGTGCTACTCCGGTCCCAGCCCCGGTGCCGCTTGAGGGGTGGAAGAGGAGGGGACGGTGCTGGACGGCGAGGCCGAGGGGC